TGAAGGCATTTATGTAAAATAAAGGCTGGTGTTACTGTAATTGTGATGTCTACCATTCAAATTTCACCCAGGCCAAGTTTCTGAAGGTGGAGCAGCTGCTAATACAATAAAGAACTCTGTGGCTTTGAAGGGATATTACATTTTTGTAGTATTGTTGTTTCTTCTATTGATAATGATTAATGGACTTTGTAACCATAAGTTCGAGGTCAAAATTTGATTTTGCCCACCTCCGCTGTCTTACGCATAAATATCTTGCCACTACTCATACCATTTCTTGCACTCAGCATTTGCTCTCGACAGAAACAGACCTTACCTTCCAATTCTCCATCTCTGACTTTTTCATCCTGTATCGTTCTCTGCCCAACATCTCCTCGAGCTCACTGACTTCTCTATCACAGCTAGACCCAGCAATCCGACTGTTGGTCGCAGCTTTTCGACCTCTTCTCCTCCATGCTCCATAGACACACCCGGCTCCCTGCAGTTGCCATGATGTCTGTTCTCTTCCGTTTCCTTCTGAAGTGGACACCCCTCACCAGAGCACCAGCATACCTGAGCCTTTGTGGCTGCTTCCCATTCCTCCCTTCTGTACCCCTTCTCCCCAGCTTCCCCACTGTCTCCCTCCTCTCTCCTCTGCCTCTATATTTACTGCCAGGCATTCCCCAGGCTTCAGCTGTGTTACAGTACCTCCATCCAGCGACCAGAGGGCACCCAAAATGACAGTACATACTGTACCTCATCCTCTCTGGTTGAGGCGTGGGTTAACCACACTTTGTTAACCCATCACCACGTCTCCCCTTCAGCCTATTAAATAGCACACACACACTATTAAATAACACACACTTCCCAGGAAACCTCCTTGGCCTTTGGACATTTGACTACCCTTCTGTCCTTGATTTTTGGAATTCGTCTTGGATACCTTTTGCAAAGTTTTTCTTTGGATTGGTGATCTTCTGGCATCTTGACGTTTTGCTCGCCTTTAGACCTCGACCTTGGTTATTTTTTCTAGACCACATTACTTCCAGTATGAATATTATATATTACATCAGAGATAAAAAAGTGTTTCACTTTGATCAAATTATTACAATGGAATTAATGGAAATGTTAATCACAGTTCTTTGGAAATATCATGGTACTGTACCAGAACAGACTGATAGAATTGAAACTGGGTCACCATTGTGCAACCGATACAATTCCAAGACTTTTGAGCCTGTTATTATGCTGTGTGTCAGTGTGTCAACTCTTTCACACATTTTCCACTTAATGATGTATTACTATACAATTTGGAATGCAGAAACAGGAAACAGGAGGAAATTCTTTTATAATGAGCTAATATTTTATCCAGCTTCAATTAAGCTTCAGGATGAATGAGGAAATGTAAGTTGACAGTCTGCACTACAGAGAAACTCTGCTGTTTATAATCTGAGTTAAATCACCACAAAAAAGAGCTAAGCTTTATAGAGTGCAAAATTAATTATCAAAGCAATATACAGTAGCCATTTAGAGGGATTTTGCTGTGAATTTAACTTAAAATAAACTCAAACAGCAGGAGGAGGATTGTGTCTGAAGTATATTGTGACAACAAAACAATGTGGTAGTTTGATTTCCATGGTCTTACACTGATACTGTAGAATATCATATATCATTATTTTTGTCAAATTAATAATGTCTTGTTCTTTCTGTGGTTTAATGACATATAGTCTGACAAGAAGAGACAATAATCTGGGTAAGACAACTCCCCTGGTACTGTACATCACTATTTCTTCTGTAATATTTCTCTTCAAGTAAACATACAACAGTACAACTATATGCATGTTGTGTTGTAGATATGGACAAAAGTTGCCCTGTGTTTTTCAATTTAAAAATAATTGACAATGAGATAATACTGTATTAGCATTTTATAGCAAGTTATAAACTGTTGATTTAATTTAAAGTTAATTAACTTTCTCAGAAAAATAGCTCTTTTTGTCTAACTTTATTTCTTGGTTGGAAAACACATTTGCACACACCCTAGGGATGAAAGAAAATCAAGTGTTACTGTCCAGTTTTTCCCATTGAGTTCTGATCATCACACTGAACATATTTAAATTATTTGCAGTCTTCCTTCTCATTGTCAGATATAATAGAATATTTCACTGAGTAGCAGTTTAGACAACTAGGTAGGTCAGTGCATCAGTTTCAGAAAAAATGTGAAATCACCAATTATTTTCTCTTCTGGTGTCACTTGCTGAATTGTGAGTCACGACATGAGTCCCAGTCATAGTCAGCTAATGACAATTCCAAGACGTATACAGATGATTTCTGGATGAAAAGACACAGCTTGTTCTCCAAAGAGCTGCCTTCGCTTGTTGAGACAGTCTGCTTTCCTACACAATTTAAATTATTTAGTTTTTGACAGGCTATGTGTTTAGGGTTATTATTATGGTGAAGAACAAATCTTTAACTGTGAGGGCAGTGCATGATGTTGTGTACATTGTTCTTTGTCTTTCTTTACGCTGTATACAATATTATTTTGTCCACTGGAAATTAACCCCAAACCCTCATCTTTTGCTTTAGAGTCTACACTGTTTTACACACTGTTTTCTCTTGGTGCTGAAAAAATTGTTTCACCTTTAAAAAACCTTTATTAAAACCTTTTCCAAAGCAGTTTTATAGTCAATTGGCAAATCTCCATGCTGCCTAAATTAAAATCTCCACTGAATTAAGTGTTTATTATGTAATATATTTTTGAAGCTGAGCCCCCCAGAATAAGATGCAAATACAAACCAACAACCATTACATATTAGAGAAGAATTTAAAATACACAACCAAAAATGTGGAACTTTATCCTTTCTTTCTCATTGACAATGTTATCCATTGTTGGATGGACTCGTTGTATTTAACTTCTACAAAATTATATACATGATAAAAGGAAGTAGGGAGAGAAAAATCACGTACTGTATACTTCAAAAAGGACAGTTTGAATTCCTAAATGGATTAGAATTTATGTATGTTGTTGAAAACTAACCAACCAAAGTTTTGCATTTATTGTTTTCCATAAATTGATTTTACAAAAAAAAGAACATGGTTATCTATCGAAGATTCATCAGTGTCTTTTGTTTTGTTTAAAAATCTATACTGTATCTCTGTACTATCGACTGCCTATTAGAAAAATAATTTAATTTAGACAGCTATATTTTAATGTTTCTTACTTTAAAAATATATTTAAATTTTCTTAACTATGAATTATGGTGGAAATAATTATTGTGGTAAATATAATGACAAAAACACTACAATATATTGACAGAAAAATAAATATACCCCTATTCCCAAAATTAACATTGTCTCAGCAATTTGTATTTAATACATTATACGTAATATTGGAATAATTTCTCAAACAATTAAAAATTATATGGTTTAAAATACATTTTAAAAAGCATTTATGTAACATATTTATTACACAGTGTATTCCAAATTTACATTATACTATACATTTTATATACTTTAAGTTAGGCTTCTGCTAGAACACTGTAGTTTTTGCCATGGCTGCTAACCACACCCCCACTCACCTGTCACTCAGGGCCAGCTGCCATGGAAATGTGTTCTGACAGGAAACCTGTATCACCTGCAGGCAATTATTCCATGCTTGTCGCAGCCGATACAGAATATTTAAAGTCTACTCTAAAAATACATGGGACTCTGGTATAGAGTTTGCTGTCTAGCATGTGTTCTAAATCTCAGTTCTCTAGCTTTGCATTCCCTGCTCAGAAATCTCTTGGACTGTCAACTCTATTTTGACCCGATCTCGACTCTTGGATTTCCAAGTGCACTCCCTCTTGTACAAACGCTTGTTTCTGGACCTCCACTTGGTTTCCCTCAGTGCTTTGCTACAGTGTCTTCCTGGTTTTGATCTTTGTTAATTGGATAATGATCCTGGACTGTATTTGTAGGTTATACCACCTTGCCTCCTGCAGTTTCCCTAGTATGCCTCAGTACCACATCTGCAATGAGCCTGGATTCAACTTACATCTCACAGTGGCTGCTTAGTTTCCACCTTAAGCAGCAGATATGACACTTCATTAAGAAATTTGATATTTTTATATATTTTAAATGTTTTTTCATACATTCCCAAAATATGGGTTATATGGTATTTTTTTGGTTCTACTACTTGAGTAATATTCACAAGTAATGCTCAATGCTTTACTGCTGTGCTCATTAGCACTGCTATGCTTTGGCTACTGCAGAGCTCCACCAATACTCCAAGCAAGCATCTTTCTGTTTGAGCCATTCCGGAACCCAGTTGGGGGTAGTCTTTTAAATTTGATGAAAATTGTACTTTTGAATTAGGTGCTTACAGAGGAAATTTCCACTTAGATGGCAATGAAGTATTTACTATTGCTCTTCTTCTTAGAATTGAAAATCACCTAAGCCCATAGTGGAAGTACAGTATAAGAAGACCATGGGGAAACATTTATAAGAGTAGTTTCTCTAGCATGATTTCAGCCATTCTGAAGGTGTCAAACAACAGGTTGATACTTGAGAAGGAGTGGAATAGTTTTCAGAGGGTTAAATCATATGACAGAAAACCCAACTGCTTTTGCTGTGGGAAGATAGCAAATTAGTCAGTACATTAAATACTTGAGAAAAGCAAGCCTGAGACAGGCAGTCAGCAGTCCAGATAAACCACATATACTGTAAGTGAGAATACTCACGATCAAGTAAAGGCCAACCCAAAGTGATAATGTTTGTGATATCGAATAACAGGACCTTATGTGTTCTGTGGAGTGTGGAAGCAATGATGTGCATTCCTCCATGCTATTTTTAATGCCCATGGTGATCATGTTGAACATGTCAGGTTTTAATTTTATTTTCAAAGACAAAACATTAAAGAATATCCTGCTAAATGGTAAATGAGCTTTCATAGTTGCTTTTGTGAATTGCATTGTAAGATTTGGAAATCACGGTTAATAAATGCAAACATTTATTGAATGTCACACATTTCTGTCTATTTTTATCATAAATTTATACACCCAAGTTTCTAAATGCAAGACAGAGCCTGACTATCATAGAGTATGATAGTCAGGATACATTGCTACGGGGGAAGTTTTCCCACAACGGTCTCCTCCAAATGCGCTTCACTTCTGTTGCACATGGACCAAAGATTCACAGAATTTCAACTCTTTCCTCAAGCCTGTCAAAAAAGATATAATAATTTTAAGATATTTTTCTTTTCATCTTTCTCCAACAATTTCTCTAACTGACTTGTCTTGAAGGTGATTTCACTAGTGGAGTACCACAGAGATCTGTAACAGGACCACTGCTCTTTCTAATTGTATATCAATGAGTATTGCAGATAGGTAGCAGATATAAGGTATAAGATATAAGACGTTAAAAACAAAATTGGGAAGCATTTAGAATATTACTCTACACACAATTTTGGTCACCATGTTACAACAAATATCGCTCAATAGGCTACTCAAAATCTAAACTAATTAGATGTCTTCAGAATCAACAGTTTTCAGAAATCAGATTTGGAGGTACCTCTGTTTTACAAGAAGGGTTTTGACAGTCTGGAACAAGCTACATTGCCATTTTGTTGAAGCTGATATCTCGGTTTCTTTCAAGAAGTGGATGATATCTTGGGTCCAATAACCTTTAATATGTTCTTATCACTTCAATTACCTACAGACATTAGGACCTGACAAGCTTATCTTTGATCCTGACATGTTCACTTATGGCTTTGTCATAGGCTAGCAAAGGTGTTCGCAAAAATGATGTGGGTCACAAAGATAACACAAATTATTTAGAAATATTAACCTTTCCATTCTCGGTAATGGTAGCAAAATGGAAAGATGCTTAGATCAAATTATTATTATTTTTGTTGTATTTTATATGACATGAAATATTCCTTAGCCATTTCTGTTAAAACTGTGCAAATGTCCAATCATGTTCCAATTCATGACAGCACAACAACTGACATGTAGTAATATTCGTATGAACGCTCAGAGAGTTTTTGTAATTCATTTACTCTTGTACTGTCAGCAGCAGACTGTACCAGTAATATCCTGAACAAGGTGACACTCTTACCCCTTGTGGTTGTGTTATCATCCTTAATGAGATGTTGTCCAATACAACAGGAAAATGGCATGGGCACCAGAGCTTCTTGTCCTAGTGGAAAAGATGTGACATATTTTGTAACAATTTTGTCAGCTTTTTGTGGTTTATCTAACCTTTGCGACCTATCAATTTTTTCATGTACACTACTTGCATTGCTGTGAAGTTGAAAATTTAGTGGTTTTAATAGAAAATAAAATAGTAGTTTCCATTTGTTTTTTTAGGTCCATCTAATGGTTATAAACAGTTTTAAAACTGAATGTGAGTTAACCACACATCACACAGCAAATGGAATATGCAGTGGTGTTGTTTTTCTAGAGAAGATTATGTCTCTGTTTTGTGGTTGGCTATTTTTTTTGTTTTTCACTCATTTTTCACCCATTACTTTTTTTAATAAACATATTCTCACAGTTTGTTAGACTGGGGTTGACTGGGAAGGTGATCATAGGACTTTTGATTTCTCCCAAAAACTGAGTAGCATAATCGCTTTGATGGTACATTTGGGATAATTGCTGTCCTGGAACATTAAATGAAGCTTTTTAGTGTATTTTGGCTAGACATTTTCCACTAGAATGTTTACATTGGTTCATTCCTACTCAAATAGTCCTACTTCTTTCCAACCCTTATTCCTGGTCGTTTAAACAGAAAAACATTTAATATGTACAGTATAATTTTAAAATGCTGGTGATATAGGATTGGTCAAAAATTACAGATTTAGAAAACTATATTTCTGAGTCAAAGAGTATGAGCTTCTATTAATTATGCTGTATGTCCACTTGTTAAAACTTGTGCATATTAAAGCTAAGCAACGTATTTTTAGCATGTGTTTTTAACTTCTTTTGTTGTGGGGCTTTCTTTTGTTAAGGGGTGTAGCTTGTCCTTTTGTCTTTAGACAACATCAGGAAGAAGAATTCATAAGGAAAGAATACTGAAACAGATGTTATTTTCATCCCCCAACATGTGAAATCAAGTAACCATGGCAATAACAACCCATGATGATGTCACAAGGAACACAAAAGTCAAAGCATGTTTTGCTTGAATGGAAGATGTAAAATGGAACGCTAGGGAGATGTCCTCTCCCCTACCTTGACCCAAATCTGGTACCTAAAGCACAATACAAGAGACATGGAAAACAGAAGTAGGTGATTTCACTCAGCAACAGTAAATGGATTCTCAGGATAATCAGGTATAAAAACATATCGGATAATATAACACTATAAAGTTTTGATTTCTACTTTCTCTTTAAAGGGATTAACACACTTCAACATTGACAGAATATGACATTCATAGTTAAAGCAGACCTAGTTCCAATGCATTTATTCATTTATAGGACACATGTTGGTATTTTTTAATATTAAAATACCAACCAGCCTTGGTTAAGTGAAACTGTCATGTTAGCTTCTGTAGAAAGCAAGTGTGACATCACTGGAGACAAGCCATTGACTGCAAATGCAGAGCTAACCTATTCAGTTCTCCATTGGAGGGCCAAATTATATAATCATCATGCTAATATGGAGCTAAATAATAGATACAGAAATTGCTTCATCTCCTGCTTTAACAGATACTGTATGTCTTACTAAATGGAAAACTGTGAACAGACAGAGTTGATTTTTGTCCTTGTCTAGTCATACATTTACTATTAACTGAGGCATTTTTTAAAACATCTGCTATTATTAACAAACTGATTGCGCCTTTTCTTACCTAATATATAACTTATTGCCACATAATATTTTATATCACATCTTTTTGCTGATGGAACTTGTAGACCTGATGCACCTTATACTGCTTTATGACTATGTATGACATCACAAATGTCACATGTTATTCAGAAAAACTGTATTTCACAGACAGCATATATGTCTCTTATCCAACAGTAGATATATTTAATAATTGTGATATAACAGAATTCAGTTAAAAATAACAGAAATATGCACTTTAGATATAAGGTGGAAAACATTGAAAATCAAAAAGCTTTGTATGTAAAGAGATGCATGTGTCTTGATGACATACTGTATGATTTTAATGTGAACTTGAGACAAAATTGGGAAGCATATGGAATTTTACTCTACAGTACATACAAATACAATTTTGGTCACCAAGTAATAAAAATTATTGCTTCTGTGGAATCAGTCCAGGAGAGTGGAAAGATACATTCTTTGACAATTTTATATATATATATGATATACATTCTTTATTCTAGAATTGCATAATTTTGTTACAAGGTAAGAAAGCTTGATAAATGAATCATCTGTTTCAGTTATATGAACTGATCTTTCACAAAATGTTTGCAATCTAGTTTTACCCCTTTTCAAAGGGAGGATGAAAAGACTGACAAAAGTTTGTGTTTCTATTTTACAATGGGAAAACCCTAATCGGAGAGGATGAATAGATATGAAGAATTATGTCCTGAAATTCTGAAACAGGACATTTTGACACAGTGATAAAAAAGCTGTGAAACAGAATCAGAAGGCATAAAATGGAACACATACTAACTCGTCTAGACTTTCAGCAGAGTTGCTGCTGAAAGTCTTGAGGAAAACAATTACTTATAGCTCAGAGGCAGAGCTATTGTAAAAACAATTGAAAAGAAAGTTTGGGGGGGAGTGGGGGTGTCTGTTTAATTTTAATATATTGAAGTAAACGGCTCTGGCTTCCCCACAACTCTAAATTGGATGAAGCAATAACGATGAACAGATAAATCTCTTCTAAGTTTGGAAATCATTGATTAATTTCTGTCAATTAATCTTTCATTATAATTTCATGCTTTTATCTTCCACATTGAGTGGACAGGTTTGTACTCATCCCTCAGATTTTAGAAACACAAATCACAAGTACAGCAAGTGTGCAAAGAGAGCTTCCTGTTTATGCTGGAGAATTATTCTCAAAGTCTTCTTCTGTGACCTGCTGTTCAATGGTGTCTGCCATCAGTGCAAGTTCACAGAAAGAGAAGACTTTCTTGAACAATGCTAGTTTAAAAAAACTGCTTGAGACAGAAAGGTTAAATGATTTAGATGGTTTTAAAGTATACCATATATAACATAGCATATAAAATAACACACTGTCTTGTGCACTCTAACCATATTCAGGCTGTGACTGCAGCAAAAAATATTGGCCAAACTTAAAGTTGATGTTTTGCTTAATAAATCTGAATATATTTTTTCCTAATAAATCCGGTGCAACAAAGTTTAGATTTTGTCTTCCTATAGACCTTATATCTATTAAGAAATTGATCTATGTGGTTAGATTTGTATTTCCACAAATAGTTTGTCGAACTGTGCCTCAAATCACCTAAAGGATTCACTGTACTTTTTCAATATCTTTACCGTTTAATTTTGCTGAACGATAAAAACGCCCCTTTGTTAAAAAAAGAATGCAACATTATTTTAAATAATGCAACATTAATTAACAAGGTGAGAAGATCTAAATGTTGCAACACTTTTAACTCTGCAAAATAAATAATTCCGACCACATTTTTTACAGAACAACAGGCACGCATAAAAAGCATACAACTTTACTTTAAAACGGCACATGCCATACAGCACAGATTCATTAAACTATATTAAATGCATTAAAAGCGTCGGTACTTGGTGTCTTATCTACAGACAATATGTAAGTGGTGCATACCTTCTGTTACAGATCCCCACAGCAGACTTACACTACAGAAAACCATAAGTTACTGAATACACAAAATACTCGCTAAGGGCTTAGAAACCTATTTGAGTTATTCAGACTGCCAGTTGTGTAGTGGAAAAGTCTGTCGCATGGCATTTGTGGTTACTGTGCTGTAAATACATATTCCCCATGACAAACTTGCGTGCCATCTCCTTCCACGCTCACAAATCATAGGGGACATACTGTATATGGCGTTCATATTAGGCACACGTACTACCCTTTGGTGCGTTTGTTGTCCGCGACAATGCAGACCTTATTTTTCGCGACACCGCATACCGCATTCCGGCGCTCCGTTTTTAGACAATACAATTATTTTGACAGGCCACGTAACTTTCGAGACGTCCGGGATCAAAGGAGAGGATAGCGGGGATGGCTGGCGAAGTGGAATTGTTTAAGAAGTCGGGCGCCCTCTGCTGGGTACCGGCGGTATATTCGGCTGGCTGGGATCACGTGTGTCTGACAGCAAGAGAAGCAGCAACAGCAGCAAACAGAGCTGTGTAGCAGCGAGCCTCTTCGCCGCACTGACAGCCTGGAATTACACTTACAGTACCGTTTTATACGGAGGATCACAGTCATGGCGGGGCTGAACTGAGGGAGAAAAAATTGCTGCCCACCCCGTTCCTTCTAACCATCTTTTGTCCGGCTGCTCCTCTTCTGCCCTGTGCGATTTTGCTTCTCCGCAGAGAAAGGACAGTGTTGAAAGACTGGGCACAAAAGAAGGAAAAAAAAGGCATAGTAATTTAAAACAGAATGGCGGATCGAGATACACTGCCCCTTCCTCTTGAGGTGAGAGCCAGATTAGCTGAGCTGGAGCTGGAGTTATCTGAAGGTAAGCGATTATTTTTGGTGTTTTTATTGTTTCCCTTTTGCATTGTCCCTGATGTTATTTGCATGTCCCGCAATGGAGCTCAATTAACGCTGGAATGAGCGTTCCCTCTTCCTTAGATCGCTTTCACCCATACATCTAGTAAATTTCCGAATAGGGGATTTTTTTGTTACATTGTTGCATTTCTGCTGAGATTTGAGAGATCCCGTTTCCCCCCCGAAAAACGGTTACTTGTAATTTTTATTCTGGTTGACCTTGAAAATATTGTTTGAAGACGTTCCGCTCATTTTACATTGGAATTCACAGACCAACTGCTTCTTGCACAAACGAATTGATGGAATAATTGTGGCAGCGGGATAAGGTTACCATTGACATTGTGAGGTTTTTATCTCTAATAATCAAAGCTGGGTTGTCGTTATAACACTATTGATCCTGTAGCTGAAGCTGAACATGAAGAAGCGTATTTATTTATCGGTTATATTTGGGCAAACTGTACATGAAAAAAAAAATCAGTTGTCATATTTGGAATGCCAAGTTGACCGCGCTTAAATCCTGGAAACTGCCAGGCAGAAAATAACTGCAGTCTTTGAATTTCAAATGGCATTTTTGTTTTTGTTGTTGTTGAAGATGGTAAAAAAAAAGGATAAAAGAGACAAAAAAAACGCACTTCCTCACCGTTCTGTTTCTAAAATGATAAATATATCCAAAATGATATCAGAACAGTTGGGATTTTGTTCGCAGTGTCAATCTTCAGATACGTTTTTGGATTTGTCGGTTTTGTTGATGTGGGGGCGAGCAAATTTGTCCGATGTTGAGAGCTGAGCCATTTAAGGCAAAAAGTGCCTCTACATTTGTTTCACTTCGGCAAATACCTGTAGACAATGGTGTTTGTTTATTCATAGCAGTAGCGCTGTTAAAACGTATCAATATGCCTTGAATTTTGTGAAACAAGTTAATTTCACCCCTTTGCTTAACTCATGAATATATAAAGTGGAATAATATACTTTTTACACTACCGTAGTTATTTAAGGAGATAATTTTGTGACGGCATAAGACTATTACGCAGTCGAATTTGTAAAAACGTAATGCATATTTCTTTGCATATTGTATCCAATAGGTGTGTTAGTCGTCACTCTAAAGGCCCCTGTGCTAGTCACTAATATTGTCACCGGCAAGGTTTTTAAGTTTTCTTACCTTTCTACACGAGAGAGAAATAAGGGTGATTGTTTTTGGGGCGGGTGGGGTCCCATTTTCCCATTTTCTGGTGATTGTCTGCCCCGTGTTTAACTGGCAGTTTTAGTTTGTGTGATGCTGTGTCTTACTCTTATATGGTTTTGTTTTCGGAGTCTTTATGCAGTTCAGTTTAAGCGGTCGCTCTCGGGAGAAGTCTGATTCTTGAGAAATGTGAAATTAAGGACCGCCCGTTTTCTTTTGGTAACGGTCTTAAAAGGCTCTAGGCCAGAAAGTGAAGTCTAGTCGCTGCCAATTTCGGCGGCTGGGAGGAGAGCAATTATTGATATTGCATTTGTCTCACAACGTACTGCGATGACCGGTATCTTAACCATATCGGTGCCGAAATAAATGTGTTGCAATCCGTTGCAGTTATTTTTTGTCTCATTGTTTAACACTATTTCATAATATAATATGAATATGAAATCAGTGTCAAGAAAAAGTAAGGGTGTGCACTTGGATATCCAGTTGTATTTGAAGTCTCAGAGAATACAAACGCATTAAATTGCATGACTTTTTTAGCAGTTAACTTTTGTATTCTGACTAGACTTCAGAAACGTTGTGTTTTCTTCTCTTTTCAGCATGGAATAAACCTATTGTTCCTTTTCAGTATGTCTAGATGATATTATGGTTGTATGTATTTTTGAATGTATATTAACTGAACCTAGAAAATACTTTATATTGCACATTTTTTCTTGGAGAGCTATCGTTTTTAAACTATAAGACATAAACAATAGGTTCAATTTGCAAACACAAAGCTAGGTTGTGTAATGTAAAGTGAGTTTATGATGATTCAAGCTTAGCGTAAAACATGATATGCGGGCTACCCTTTTTAATTCAAAGGGAAATGTGTTTGTTTCCAGATTTATAGGGAAGGTCTGGCTGGTGTTTGCAGACATTTGAGGCGAGTTTCATATTTTGGGAAGACAAAAAGTCCTTATTTTGTCTCGCAACAAAGTGTTTTGCATGCATCAATGAATTGGACAATGCTTCTGCAAAGGGAAAACACATGCTGGAAATGAATTGTTATTCTTAGATAAGTGTTATTCTTCAGTGTTATGTTGGGTAATACCTCACCTCTGGCTTTGCAACGTAGACCGTTTCACATTTGACACGAAGCACGAACGTGGCTAATCGTCAGTGACTTTGGCACTTGTGAAATTAAATCCATGAGCCATTTTCTCAAATTAAGTCGCGCGTGCTGGCGTTACTCTTTAGTATTAGAAATAAATCGTATACGATTAGTTACTATACTTAAGATTTTCATTACATAACTTCAAGAAGTGGCTGTTGCCTGGTTTTGAATGGGTACAGTGGAACAACGTACTGTACTGCCAGCATGACATCGCAGGTGCACGGCTGAGGTAGACCAGGCTGCAGGAGGTGGGGCTTGAGCTGTAATGAGCAATCGAGACAGACGTAGTGCGTTCCCCGTTCCCCTGGGCAGGCTATTAATTGCGTGATGTTCTGAAATGAAGGCACAGTGGGAAGATTGTTACAGTCTCCTGCACTGTGTTGGGGTTTTGAATATTGTGTATAGTGTTTATTTGTTATCTTATTTCTGCTGTTTCGGTTTGTGCAGCAAGACATCACTTACAGTACCAGTGCAAGGAACGTGATGACGCATAATATGATTCCAAAGGGCAAATCAACACCCTGGTAATAAAGCTCACCAGCTGTCACATAAGTACACTTTCAGTTTATTTTAGTGATTGGAGTAATTATGACTCTGAGGTGTTGCTTTGTTTACATTAAGAGCCTTCATGTACAGTATGTGGTCGCGGTGATCTAACAAATATCAACAAGCCAACTTTTAGAACCAGCTGTGCTGGGCTCCTGTATGACTGGTTTCGATTAGACAAATGAAAATTTGAAAAGGTTTAGTCATAAAGCCAGTTTTAATTTTTTTCCCAACTCCCGAACACCTGGTAATGAGGAAAGTATTAACAACACTATATCACCACAGAATGTATCTTGTAACAACTGCTTACAACTGAGTAGATAGAAACTGAGGTAATCTGGGTTTCTTAAGACACTGTCAGGAGTGTGTCTGGCCTCTAGTGACAACTTCCTGTGAAAATCCACACTGTTTAATCTAAACCTTTTTCACTGTTGAATGCAATATTTTCCACTGATGTAAAATGGTTCAGATGGTTAGAGGGAGGCAACTGTCTTGTTTATTTGGTGGGTACCGTCTTGACCATTTGTTTTTGGGGATAACAACTTGTGCATTTGGGGTTCAAGTCTTTTGCATGTGTGCTTGGGAGGTTTTGTCTGGTGTGCCCATAAGTGTTGGGAGGTATGGGCTCTTTGGCTCAGTTTTCAGCAGAACTGAACGAAAATGCCCAGGTTGTTCCTTTGTTCTGATGGCATGGAATCACATTTTAAATGTGGGAAGTTGGGGAGTAATGGCCAATATAATATAGAGACACCTACCATAAAGACAGGATTTGCCACGAAAAATAGGATAAAGATTTTCACAACAAAGTGGAAATAGGGAAATATCCATTTATTGCTTGTAGTCAATGCAGTCTTCCCCACACACAGTCACATCTGTGCTTAATTTTAAACATCCTAAACACTTGAAGCACTTGTGCAGAGAAATAAAAATAGAGAAACTTAATGTAGCTTAAACTGATAAACACCACAGTGAGACTTTTCTGTTCTAGATCACCCTGTTCTCTTCTTGTTGAACTCTTGTTCAGCTACTTCTTCATGATTAGAATCTTAAATCCATCCTTCCTTGATTTTTCTACAGTGGTTTTTGTAGATGATACACTTGAAGCTCTGTGGTAAGCTTACTGGAGTCTATTTATAGTCCTGTGAAAGCCCTTCTTCTAAGACAGTGGAGTAAATATTTAAACGTGCATCTGAACTTAACGGGTCTATAAACATCTCGAGCCTCTCAAATGATCAAAGATGAAAGTTACAGCAGGATTGTGAGCACCTTTCTGCAAAATCTTGACCTTTTACATTTTCAATTACCAACATCGAAAATGACTCTTTTGCTTGGGTTTTGTGCTGACTTTAATCAAACATGATATTAAACACACATAGCAAGCACCCCTTTTTTGCTGCCCTTCAAGCATCATTAAGTTTAATTACTTTGTTTTTTTTTATCCCTGCTGCTTTTCGGATGATAGAAAATAGCAAACACAGGCCGCTGTTGTCCTGTGCATAAGAATATCTGTCATAACACCAATCTTTTTTTATTATTTTTTAATGTTGCTTCTAACTTAATCTGTGTTCCTCTCATTTTCAGTTATTGAAATTAAGCTTCGTTCCTGAGATAATCAGGCTTGCAAGTTTTATCACTATGATTCTATTGGATAGAGCCCCCTCTACAAATGTGCATGTACTTAAAATAGAAGATATTATTCTTAAGTATTGCACACTGTTATTTTCACAATCATTTTTATGGTCCGTTTGCTGTTTTTTATGATATATATTTTTTTAAGTAATGTTTTTTTGTTAGGAATGTGTTGTATGTTGCATAGTTTGTTGCTTAAATTGCTCCCTTGGGGATGAATGAAATATTTTGAATTCAATTGAATTACTTTTACAGCCTCACTTCTAAAGCTCACCTCTTCACTTCATAAGTCACATTCATGTCCTTCCGTCTTGTTTTGTAGTGTCCTCTTTTCCAATGGGTAGACCAGACCAGTGGGAATCCCAGATCTGGAATGTAAATACCCAGCAGGACTGAATGTTACCAGAGCAGGCTCTGTCTGGCATGCCTGGGTGATCTCATGCTGTATTGCATTGTGATTGGTTCACATTACTTGTCTACAGTTGCAAATCCCCTCCTCTTATAAGCTTTTTCCTCAACCTGTTGGACTTTTGTCCAGGTTTGTAGTTGTTTAACTGGTTATTGTATTGAAACCCAGGGTCAGCTGGGTAGTGTCTTACTTTTCAGAGCCCAGCCAGATATGCGCATAGAAGAGGTGAATATGTTCTTGATTTTCCTGACAGGCTGTGTCAAGTTTAATTTTTTGAAAATCTAAGGAAGCAAGACGCCCTGAACAGACAGCCTCATTTTAAATTAAATTAGATTTTAAATTAAAAAAGCAATAAGGGGGAAAAGAAATTATACAAGCTACACTGGTACTTTCCGTATGTCAGGTGAATATGCTCAAATCTGACTAAACCGTCGCTCTGTACTTTTTAATCTTTAATGAATTCCATCAGTGACATTTCTCAAAGTGTATCGCCATTGCAGATGAAATTCATTAAAATGATCAGCCTTTCTCAGACTTGCGGCTATTGTAATAGGGGTGTGGGCGTTAGTGCTTCTTTTCCTGTCTTCTCATGTGTCTCATTAATGCTCTAATTGTGTGCACCATTAACATAAAATCAAAGTGTTACTCTCTTAAATTTCAATCCAGTTTCTCTGTAAATGGAATTGCAATTCTGTGACTTTTTTTTCTACAACAGGCGTAGGAAGTGAAAATCATCAAATTCACTTAACAAATCCTGTCAGCTTCTGAGCACTTTTTCTGTAGCTTATTGTCCTTTGACCCCCAAAAAAAGCTTTTACACGCCGCTCACACACTGGTAGAAACGATTTTGGGGTGTGCTTTTGTTTCCTGATTGTATAAAAGGACTACCGCTGTCTTTCTTTCTCAGAGGACATGTACTGAAAGGCTGCCCTGGCTGCTCAAGATCATGAATCTTAGCAAAAATTGGAATCCCAGGCTGTATAATGGAGAGGAACATGAACACATGGGCCTTTAATACAGATATGGCATAGATTAATTTGGAAAGTTTGGGGGCGGGTAGCTTTTTGATCCTACCACTTTTTTAATGCTTTCACTTGGTTGAAAAGTCCAATTTCACAGTTGTTTTAGCTTATCTTGGCTTTGAACATTGAAAAAACCATCTGCTCACATTAAAAGCCAGCTGACGCCATGTTATAACCACTGTGCTTACCTTCGGTGTGGCTGTTGCCATAGTGATACAGTTCTTCTCCTTCGATGATGATGACTGAGAACACCTGTCGAGAATGATGTGATGCTGTAGTTAGGACTCGCAGATGAAGCTCTGGTGTGGGCTGAATAAAATGTAACACATCCAGTGGTTGTCATATAAGAAGTATTGAAGTATTTGGTAGTTCTAACATAGCCTTAACACCTTTCTAGGTGGGTTATCTTAATTATGTGTTCCACTTTAAAATGAGTCACCTGATTCACATCTACATTCTTGAGTGATGTTATTAAAGTTAATGAAGTTGTTCAAGATTGTAAGCTGTAATTGATTAAACTGCTCTGATAAAAAAAAAATCTTCAATTATTCTTTTTCTTGTTTTCTGATCCGATTAAGATGATTTGGTTTCTTTTCAGCTCTACATCTTTTAATTGAAAGCAAATATCCATGTCTTGGAGTAGCATTCATAGGCATCCTATGCCATTTGTGTTAGCCTGCTGCACTGTTTAAAAAGGCCCTTTTAATGGA